GGGAAGGGAGGAGAAGGGATTGCAGCATGGCCATATCCCCTGGGGGTGATTTCTCACTTTCTGTCTCTCTGCCTCTCTCTGGCTGTCTGGCGAGCGCAGGTGCCTTATAGCAAAAATCTCTCAGAAAAGAAAAGTCATGACAGATTTTTCTGTTTTTCTGTTCAAAAATGCACTATAACTTTTCTGACCACCCAGTATCTCCAAAGATCAAGTAATCTCGGCTAAAGAAAAGGGAGAGGGATGTGTATGGAATTGAGAGAAACCTAAAATATAACGTCCATCACAAAATTGACTGCAATTTCTGTCTGATTTAAAGGGGGAAAAGGTGTGATAAAGACAATACAAAATTAAAGCCATTATCTACAGTCTTGTTATGGTGAGTCTCTTTGTTGGATGCAGTGTATGATTGTCTCCTATCTGAATTCAAACAGTTCAAAGCTAGCACGGTCAGAGTTGGATGTTTTCAAGTGGGAGGTTTTCTCTGGGTTATCTGCACCCATAAACAGTCTTGTTTCAGTCCTTTGTGAGTGCCAGCAGTGTGCTAGATATCGAGGGCGGTTCAAAGTTGAGTGAGGCCGTGACTTTGAGGTCAGTTATGTTGAGGAATTAATACTCTGATCATGGAATACAGTTAATACTTAAGATTAAAATATTGAGAATGACTACTTGCCAATGAAAATAGGAGAAAGCCTCCTGGAGGAAATGACTTTTTCGTTTTTATAATGAGGAAGAAAGCAAGCTAGAAAAATAGTCTTTGTAAATTTGCTGTAAGGTATGTTCACTCACTAGAAAGAGAGAGAGAGAGAAATGAGAAAGCACCCCCAAGGGAGATGGCCACTCTGCAGTCCCTTCTCCATTCTCTCAAGATTTCCAGGGCACACACATACATGTGCCCAGAGTGATTCTCAAGCCACTGAAGCTGGGACTCACAGCACAGTTGGCCATGTGGGATCCAGCTGCCTAACACCACGCCACTGACCGGCCCAAGCTAGATATTTTTGACAGGGTCTCACCACATCATGTTCCTCCTGGCCCAGCCTCCTAGGGTTCCAGACATGGGACCGTGTCCATCCAGCTTGTTAAGGCTGGGAATTGGACCTGGACTTCCCATTGCAGCCCAAGCTGCTGTGCTGCCCACTCTCCTGCTTGTGCCACCAAGAATTGACATTTGACCTGGGTAATGAAGATAAATTGTAGTTTGGGAAGGGCAGAAGGGTAAGGGGGACAATAAAGAGATAAAGGAAAGAAACACAGGATACTTCAGTGTGCGCTTTGACGTGCATTAGCTCTTAATCCTTCAGAAAGCTTATGGGATGGGTGTTATCCCCACTTAAGGTGGAAAAACTAGCTCAGAAAACTGAATAACTTGCATAACTCACATGCAATGATTTGCTCCAGAGTTAAATGAAAGGTTATTAGCTAGACAGTTGTTCACATTGAGTGCAATTTTAAGTGATACGTGTTTTCACTGTATTAATATTTGTCAAGATACAGAGGAATTCTATTTACCAAAACTATTCTTAAAGAGTATTGTATATGCGTTAGGGAAATACTGAATGCATGAGCTTTTTGGCATGTTGATGAGGTTGAAATTCCCCAAGGGCATTCTGGGATAGCTGGTTGCTAAATTATTTGCCCGAGGATGTTCCCCTGAATGGTTCCTGCACATTTTCCTATAATACTCAGGAGTAGCAATCTCCTCTTTAAACATAAAAACAGGTGTTTGAGAGCTATTGGTGTAAAGCGTCCCAAAGTAATTGTGTGCCCAAATACCCCAGTTGTTCTGAGTGATATACAGGGCCATCCTACATCACATGCTTAACTCCAAAACCAGTGCTCATAGCTATGTGTTAGGCTGCCTCCAGCATGTGACTGAAATGCAGATAGATAGGTAGACAACACATGTAGTACACACAGAGATGGGGAGGAAATGTAAATGGCGGTTCTAAAGATCCTGCTGCCCGTAGTCTTCTCAGGAGTATGTTGTAGTACTTAGTGTTGTATTTCCTTCAACTTTTTATTATAACCAGGCATTTTCAGGTAGTTTAATCCTTTGAGGAACAAGATGGGATAAGAACGAGTGAATAGGGCCAGCCCCATAGTGCAGCAGCTAAGCCCTGTGCATAGGGAGCTGGTTTCCACATGGCCAGCTGTGATTCAAATCCTAGCCTGGCAGCTTGATAAACATTCCAAGCACATGTGCGTTTATGCCCAAATCCTGAAGGGATGGAGAAATAGAGGAAAAGGGACTGCAGCGTGACCACACCGCATTGAAGGATACTTTCGCTCTCTCTGTCTCTCTCCCTCTCTCAAGCACGCATGCCCTCTGGTAATTAGATCAAATAAGTTTTTAGAAAACAGAGGTGCCTGATGGCAGCACAGTGTTAAAACATCACCCTCAGAGGTGTCGCTGCTCTGATGAGAAGGTGGGCTTATGGCACGTGGCCTAGGAGCAACATTACAGTCCCGAGGAAAATCCATTTGATCATGTTCTGAGGATGATTTCATTTCTGACTGAAGCTGTCCCTCAAAGCAAACATATAATAGAAGAAACAGATCTCAGCAATAGGGTGAAGACCCACTTGAGCCCTCTTAGCTACCATGTGGAAAAAAAACAACAACAAAAATGCCACATTTGCCTTATACACAGCACTGACAGCTCTTTCTGTGATGTACTCAGTATGAGGGTGCTGTTAGCATATCTCTGCAGCTGATTTGAAGATATTTCAGTTTCTTTTCTAAGAATGGCTTCCAACAAAGCATCATCAATGAAAATGTACTGCTCCTAAAGGATTTGGAGCAGGATTTTCGGAATTGGGATAGAAAACAATCTCTTTTTGACTGCATCACAATCTATGACAGAAAAACATGATGTCATCATATGTAATCAACAGACAAAAGGCCTGAAAAAAATCTGTCATGGGACATGATCAAACAGGGGAAAGCTTTCAACAGGAGTTGCCAATTCACATGAATCTTTTTTTTTTTTTTTAAATAAAGAATTATTTAGGGCTGACAGGTGCTGGATTCCCACATGGCCGACCATGGTTCAAGTCCCCGACCTGGAGGCTTGCTTCTCGCTTTCCCTTTCTCTGTCTCTCTGGTCAACTTAAAAAATAACAATAACGAATGGAATTAAATAAATAAATAATGTTTATTTTTTTAAAAAAATAAGGAATTATTTATTTATGTTTTATTTTTAATTTTTGCTGCAGAGCACATGTGCTCACCAAAGAGAGAGAGAGAGAGAGATAGAAAACAAGCCAACAGGTCTGAGATTCGAACCACCATAAGCCATGTTAGAGTCCAATGCCTTAATCAGCACTGACCTGCTGGCCCTGAACCTGCATCTTAAAGGATGAACATGAATTTCCACGAAGTATAAACTCCAGCATGATTTTCAATGTGTTTATAGGCCTTATAGCCTCCTTTCATAACCATGACACTATAAATTGACTACAAAGACTCGGTCCTGAAATGACACTAACATATAGCCCAAGTAATTGTTCTATCTGGCTCAGACACTTTGTCAGCCCTGATAATTGTTAATTATCCTTTAGAAAAATAGCAGTGGCAGAAGCAACTGTCTTCCACTACCTTGGCCATGGATCCGTTAGTCTAATACATCACCCATTAGTCTAATACAAGGTTGCTGAAAAGCCAGATTTTTCTACACTGTATGATTCAAATCCAAGAAAGGACTGGAGCTAAGAAGGGAAGTCATTAGCAGAGCACAGCTGCTACAAAGAGCAGGAGCAAAGTACCATGGAATTGACAGGAGAAATGTTTACACGGAACAGATGTAACAGAGAGTTCAGGAGCATGCAGACTTATTTTTTCACAAAGGAGTTGCATAGCAATTATGGATGTTTTCCACAGCATTTATATTAAGCATAATGAAAACAAGGAACTGGTTGTCTTTTATATTCACAAAGCACTTTCCAGTGAGGGGTCCCCGCTCTTCTCTCCAAGGAGAAACTCAAAGTGTAATCAAAGAATTACATAAAGGTATAAAATAACAAAGAGTTACTTCGATTCTAAGAAAATATATTCAATAGCTGACCAATTCTTGGAAGCTGTACATTGAAATTTTTTATAATTATAGGTCTTTCTAGCTGTCCTCTTAAAAAATGATCTGTTGATGATAAGTATCCTCAACTGGACTAGTGAGGAATGTATTCATGTTGGAGAGTTGACTTTACAAGCTAAGTGTTATATAGTGATTGAATGTGTAAAAGAAATTAAATTAAAGCAAAATATATTAAATTAAAAAGAAAGAAAAGAAAAGAAGGAAGGGGAAAAAAGACCCCCCACAGGCATTGAATTCAGTCTCTCTCTTTGGGGATAGTGTATGTTTCATGACAATTCTTACCTGTATCTTATCCTTATTAAATGTGATAAATTCTGAGGGTAAAACACATACACACCACACACACACACACACACACACACACACACACACTACCCCTCTCTAACACTGACTTACATGGGAATGTTCCTAGTTCAAGTCCTGGTTCAACCTCCTTTAAATATGCCAGGCATGTGTGTGCCATGGTTTAGGATGACTAAGGCTAGGGATAGATCGCAGTATCAAAACCCTGTTATTTAAGGGAACCAGCAGTTAGCGTAATGGCTATGTCGCTGGATTCCCACGTAGTCGACCGTGGTTCGTGTCCCGGACCTGGTGGCTTAAAACTCACACCGGGCGCGTGTGCATGCGTGCCCAAGATCCCGAGAGGAGAATGGAGGAGAAGGGATTGCGGCGTGACCATCCCCCCTGGGGGGTGATTTCTCGCTTTCTGTCTCTCTGTCTCTCTCTGTCTGTCTAGCGAGAGCGCACGCGCCCTACAGTGAAAATCTCTCAAAAAAAACAAAACAAAACAAAACAAAAAAAACCCCTGTTATTTAAAACTAAGTAAGTACACTTTAAAAAAAAAAAGATTGAGTGAACACATAGGTCTCCACTGTTAAGTCTACCACTGTATATTTGTTATCCTCAGGAAATTACTACAATCAAGGAGAAATTCGTAAGAAAGAACTTTTGCAGAGCTGTGATGTTTTGGGGATTCCACCTTCCAATGTAACGATTATTGATGACAGGTAATTTTTCTTTTAATGACATAGACATTCACTGACAATAAATATGCAGTAATACACTTGAAAAACAAATGTGGGTGGATAAGAACATCTTATTTGAGGAATTTGCTTAAAATAGCCTCACATTTGTTTATAAATGACAGTGTAGTAGAAATAAATTTTAACTTCCATTCAGATTTTTGGCTTGAGATAACTATGTCTCTTTACATCTTTTAAAATTTTCCTATAACTTGCAAAAATACACAGCAGTATAAAGGACAATATTATGAACCTCCACAGGCTTATTACCTAAACTTAGTAACTATCAAGATTTTGCTGTACTTCCTTCATCCATGACCAGTTAACATCTTTCGTGTTTTGCCTTAGGGTGCATGCTAGTGAGGACAGAGAGAGATAGTCAGAGGGAAAGTGAGAAATCAGCCAACTGGAGGGATGGCCACGCCGCAGTTCCTTCTCCATTCTTCTCCTGAGATTTTGGCAAGCACTGATATGTGCCTGGCATGATTTTCAAACTGCCAGATCCAGAATCAAACCACAGTTGGCCATGTGGGAGTGCAGCACCTTAACCACCTCCTCATGAAGATATATATATTTTTAACTTCAACCATCAAGTTATTCCACCTCTACATACTTAGGTATGCATTTCCTTAGAAGATGGACATTGTTTTGTTTTGTATTGCCAGAGGGTACATGTACTCACCAGAGATTAAGTAGAAATAGAGAACGCACTTCCCAATTGGACATGGTACCCTGTTAGGAACTGGGCCCACAACAGGAGGTGAATGAAAGGCCAGCCAGGGAAACTTCCTTTGTATTTACAGTCACTCACCATGGCTCACATTGCTACCTGAGCTCCACCTCCCATTAGATTCATAGGAAGCCAAACCCTATTGTGAATTGCGCATGCGAGGGATCTAGATTGCATGCTCTCCACCACCCCCTCCCCTGCTGTCCCCACGTTTGTCCATGGAAAAATTGTCTTCCACAAAACCAGTCCCTGGTGCCAAAAAGGCTGGGGACCACTGTAGTAAGTGGTGCCTAGATTCTAGATACACAGCTGAGAACAGGGAAGAGCTAGCAAATGAAAGGAGGTTGCCAAGTCTATACGCAAAGAAGATGCTCAGTGCCCTCATTCACTACTTGTTTATTTTTATTTTCTATATCATTCCAACAAACTTGGTCTCAATTGGTTATCATGTCTTTCGGGTTTTGGTTTTTGCCCTTTTAAGACTGAAACTGATGCATTATTAAATGAGGGGAGGGAGTTGCTGCTATAGGCATACATAGGTAACAAATGACAAATGAATGCTGAATCTACTGGGATCCACTGGGTTAGCTTCAACACTAAGATTTGTCCTGTCACATGTGAAGTCATCCAGAAGCAAGATGGTTCCTCTCTGACTTAACAACATCATCAAAAACCCAAGGCCTGGACCAGCTTATGGCTTGGAGGTTAAGGGAACTGGATCCCACATGGCTGACTATGGAATTCAAATCCCAGATCCAGTAGTTTGAAAAGACATGCCACATGCATGTATATGTGTGACCAAAATCCTTAAAGGAGAGAGCAATAAGAAAGGTATTGTAGTATCACCATGCCTCATTGTGTGTGTGTGTGTGGGGGGGTAATTAAAGATAATCTTTATGGTATTAGGCATTGTTGGAAATTATATTGGAGTTGGAAGGATGGACTCCTGTTTGTTTCAGTACTCTTCAAAGAAATAAAGAAAAATATTTAGATTTATTCTCAGTCTTAGTTGGTTCAGAGTTAACTATTGGGATCACCATGGGGGAATGTCTTCTCTGTCTATGCCAGTGGGTTTTGTAATGCTTGAAAGAACACAGATCTAGATAGAGCCAGACTGCCCAGAGTGAAACTCCAGCTTCATCAGTCCGTTAACTGTGTAACCTAGGCAACTTACTTTTCTGTTTGTAAATTTCCTCTTCTTTAAATCTTTTAAGATACATGGTTTTGAGTCAATTTATGAAAGAAATCACTAGTACCTTTGTTTTCAAAGGTGATATGCCACCTTCTTACTCTGTGGATGTATGTTATGATTTTTTTTTTTTTCATAATGGACAATAAATTCAGGGTCACTTCCATGGCCTGGTGGCTAAGGGAGCTGAAGTGCACCTAGCCAGCCATGTGCTTCAAATCCTGGCCCTGGTGGCTTGAAAACAGGCTGTCCGGGACCAGCAGGTGGCGTAATGGATAAAGGGCTGGACTCACACATGGCTGATCACTGTTTCATCAGCACATGTGCATGTGTACCCAAAATCCCAGAAGGAGAGTGAAGGAGAAGAGACTATGGTATGGCCATCCCCTCTAGGGAG